ATAAAAGGCTGATGGATTTTTATTTAAGTGTTGTTATTTTATGTAACTATTATTTGTATCTTCTGTATGTTATGGATAAAATATGGTCATTCTAATAGTTTAATAATATATATATTTTTGGAACATACCAAGTGACCCCTCCCTTATTGTCTCGCGACGCCCCCAGGGGGTCCCGACCCCTACTTTGGAAACCACTGCATTATGGGAATGATTGAGTGAACTTTAGAGCCTCAACTATGGTTTGAGACACCACTGCAAATGAGTGTGAGCTACCTCAAATAGCACACTATTTTAGAGTATAGGAGGTAATTTTGGACAAAGTCATTGTTATCGGTTTCATAGTAGTCTGAAATTTACTGTTAACGATGTAGGTGATTTTTTGTTAGCGCATTAAATATTTTTTGCTGACACTAGTCTTTGGTAATGCAAAAATTCCAGTCAGTACTGACACTTAAAAAAAAAAAAAACATTCAGGCAAAACCAAATGAATACATGATGATACACTGAGGTCTTAAAATGTCACACGATCGGTCTTTGCGTGAAAAATTATTCTGTAATCTGTAGCCTCAGGCAAATGGGGAAATCCAGTTCTTTTTTTATAAACTGGGTATTCCAGACAGTTTGTGGTTCGAAAAAAGCTGCTTCACCGGTTAATTTGCATAACATTAGCCTAAAAAATTATATAACATACACAATTATCACAATTATATTAAAGTACCGTTAACACTTAAAAAACAATGCAAATACAATGTGTTGGTGGAACAAGTATTCCACACTCATGTGCATTTTGACCCATATTACTTCATAAGACCAGAATGTATAGTCAGAAGCCACAGGTAGTAATTTAGTTTGCCCGTGTGTGTTTTAAAACAATAATGGTAACCGTTAATTCACCAAGGACCACAGTTTAATCTAAAAAAACATCTTTTACGTTCTGCTGCAGTAAATTAGTCTTGAGGGTTGAAAACCAAAAAAAATAGTCCAAGCGTATTTGCTATTTTACATTTTTATATACTACAGTTTTTGCCACATTTTGATAAATAATGTCATAAAAGCTGTTTTAACGTTAAGTTATGATTGAATTGCCACTTGTTACAGTTATGAAATAGTTTGATAACAAGCAGGAATTGCTCATGAGCCAATAACAAGGCCACATTGAAATGGTCTATACAGACAGACAGACAAAAAATCTGCCTTTTACCTTCAATGGTCATAATATATCTTCTTTCAGCTATGCAGCCATTTCTGTCCTTCCTTTCTAAATATATCCCTTTAAAAATGCAAAAGCTGAGACAAATAGGCATTTAGTGCATTTTGGAGAGTGTCTGGGAGACTTTGTGTTTGGACAGCTGTGATAAAACACATGTAAGTCATTCTTGAAGAGAGCATTCCTGTTAGATGTGTCTAATGAGAATTGTGCGGGAGGCGACTGGCTTATCAGAGCCTCAGCAATGCGAAGAATGAGGATATTGCTCGAATACAAACACTTTATGAGTGGAATGCATAGTAAAGTGGAGTTATTATGAGACTTGGACACATGTATGGTACATGCGTGATTGTCATCTGACTATTATTTGTTCCAAATAAAGGCCCCAGGGAGCTTTGTGAGGGACTTTGAGGCATGAAGACACACACATCTGGGCTGCTGGGAGACAGCGTTGCCCTTGAACTGAGTAAATACACCCACAAAAAAAAAAAAATCTTAAATAAGAAAGAAAAATGTAACTGAAGGTAATAGCATTTGCTTGCTGCTGGTGTCGTTAGCTGTGAATATTCCTCTGTTTCTGTCAGAGAAATAGAAAAGGTATATCAGTTCATTCAACAATAGATTCAAATGTTTACAAAACTCCATAGCACCCTCTGCTGGACTGTTCTTAGAAAATGGGTAAACTAAATGAACTAAAATTAAATACGCTCAAATCTTACCCTCAAATACTGTTATATATTGGTTACATTTCATGCAACCTCCTGTAAAAACACACATTATGAATTTACGTTTTAAAATCTGCTGACGAAGACTTCTGTTGCATGCTCGAATTTCCAGACCAGTGTGCAACTTTCCCGGTCAAACTAAAATTAGCCTATATATTGACATAGAAACGTTAAATGTGTTTACTGAATATGTTGTATGCTGACTGATATTGACGCTGTGATTGTTGTTAGGATGATAAAGCATTCACCTTAAAATGATAAATTAACTTACCTTGACGACATTCGAACAAGAGGATTTCTGTCCCCTTGTTAAATATATTTACTCAAAACATTCATACTTAAGAATTTTTGAAGAAACCTTTTTTCCACTTAAAACATTCATTTAAACATTTACAGCATTCAAACAACGTCTCGGGATGATCAATATGATTGTTTCTCATAAGAGAACCAATGAAATTCATTCTTGAGTGTCACGTGGCACCTTTGAACTTCTGCAAGACCCATGAGGTTTGTTCCTGCGAGTCAAGCAGGTATGGCTGCGTCTCTTTTTTCATATATATTTAACATATCTTAATCGCTTGCTTTTTCTATAAACAGTCTGCCACTTCCACAAAGAAGTTAAAAGAGTTAAAAGTTGGTCAAAAAATAACAGCTCGTAGCTCGTATTTTTAATCAGTGAGTGTTAGGTAATATGCAAGTTGCTAAATATTTAGTTTTTGACAACTATTTTAAATGCAAACTACCAGTTGAAATTTTTATCAAAGCT